GGAAAAAAAAATATAGTTGCTGGGATTTGAAGCTTGTAACACTTAATTTATCACCGCGGTTGTTTACCTCAACCGTGATTAAATAACTTTCAAAAAATAAAAAATATATCAGACGCATCCAATTTTCAATAATACAACGGTGAAAAGTCTAAATGTAGTAGTATTAGTGTTACCGAATGTGTATTATGTAGTAGTGTTTTTATTATATATTAATTCATAATTTCACGTATGAATTAAAAGCTTTGACGATCTTTCATAAATGACCTCCTATATGTGTTATACCATGTTATATTATACATGTGTGATGTTTGGAGTTAACTTTTAATGTGTTGCCTTGCACGAATTCCATATTTTTACAAAATTTTAAAATTTAGTGTCTGATTGTAACCGGCTACAGGTTCGAATATTTCACTTTTTCTTTAAAATAAAAATCCAGCGCTATGTTGTAAGTGATTACAATTTTCTTGTAACCGGTTACACCTAAAGAAATTCATTTTATTGCTTAAATACTCTTTTAAATTTAGCTTCTTACAGACTTGTATCTTTAAGAACTAAGCATTGTTGTTTATCATAAGTACCTATGTTATGTTTATGTATCTCTTACTATATGTTTCTCTTAGGGGAGACGAATATATGTTAGTGTATGGCTATGGTAAGAATATGTGTTATAGTGTATGAATACAATCACTAACCTTTGTAGGATCGCAATTTGCTTAAATATACTATTGATCAATCAAGGGGGATGTGAGATATTGAATTAAACTCTAGTATTGTTAATAGAAGTTTAGCATGTCTCGAAGTCTGCTCACATGTTGTTATCGAAGACCTACACGCTGTAGTCGAAATATATTCTAGTAAGTAGTTGTCGAATTGGGTCTTGTGTTAAAGATCTAATTGTTTAAGTTAGCTTGTACCATAAGTTAGCTTGTAATGGGTAATTTTTCAAAAGCCCATTAGTTTAGTATGTTAGGTTTTATTATAAATAGCATACTAATATCTCATCTTAAGAGTGGCAAATCCTAATTAGGGTGAAAGGGTTATTTATTATTCTTGAGTATTTTTAATCTGATTTAAAGAAAGAGTAAAGAATAACAGTTATAACCAATTCTAGTTGTTCTTCTTCTTATTTTTCCGCTAACCCTAACTCTTGTGTGCTTCTTGCCTACAAAGAAACTGTTTATACTTTGTTTTAAGGTATCATTTTTCATAATAGGGGAGATATAAAAGTAAGAGGGCGTACTTGCTCAAACAATAACTTTAAGCAATTCAAAAGCAATTGTTGTCATCATAAAAAGGGGGAGATTATGAAGAAAAGTTTCCACCATTGCTTTATGTTTTGATGAAGACAAAGTATCTAGCTCAAATACATCATCAAAAGAAGGAAATAGCTCAGTGTCAAAGAAATCATTTGTGACAAGACTTGGCACCCAAGAAATCTTCAAACACATTGGACAAGGATGAGTTGATCTTGAGCATAAGGTACAAATTACAATTACACTTTGTATAACATCTTAGAAGCTCAGAACAAATTTAATTTTCATATCTAATCATCCATACATGTTTTGAAAATATTTGGAATGAAACTATGTTATTACAAAGTTGTTTCTCACATTTTTAAACAACTGTAACCAATTACACAAAAATTGTAACTGGTTACACACACAAAAATTTTAAATTTAATTTTAACAGCTACATCTGTAACTGGTTATCCAAAACCTGTAACATGTTACAGGCACAAAATTTACTTTTAACAACTACAGATGTAACTGGTTACATCATTATGGTAACTAGTTACCACTGAACCAATAGCATTTTTTCAGTTTCCTTTTCATTCCAACATTTTTCAAACTTTATCCATGAATCATGGTAATGCTTCATAAATTTATACTGATTCCAAAAGGTTCATTTCAGATATAAATAATTGTAGTTTTTGAATTTCAAAATTAACCTCTTCCTAATAATTCAAATTCAAAATTTTCTCAATTTCCATCTAATGGCCTTGAGTCAAAACTTTGTGAAACTTTCTGCATAATTTTTACAGCATCATTAAAAGTTCCATATTAAAATTCCGAGCACTTAAGTAATATACATTGTGAATTATTTATTCGAAAGAAAAGATTAATTCTCATAATTGATACAAGTACAAAATATTCTTCATCATTTATTCAAATTCTATTTTGTTCACTAAGTGTGAGTGATCATTGTACTCAAGTGAAAGTGGTGTGCTTTCTCTTGTATATTGTAAAATCAAAAGGTTGTGTGTCTTTGTGATTGTGTTAAATAATTAGGAGAGTCAAGTTGGTCGACTATAAAGTATGTGACATAGTGAAATCTCTTACAGGGTGTGAGGAGACTGGAGTTACCTTCGTTTGAAAAGGGAAACTGCGATATATCTTGATGTTCTTTACTTTTTGTATTTATTGTTTCAACACTTTTACATTCCTACAAGTTCTGAAAAAATAAAAACATCATCGCTAACGATCATTATCAAGAAAATTCAATAATATCAATTAATATAATTCATCCATCTTAAATTACATTTCATATTTATAAATAAATTGTGCACCAAACTATGTAAATGTGAGTTTTAGATGCAATATGTAAGGATCTTAGCCCATGTGGTGAGTAGCAGTAGTCCCAACAAAATAAGAGTGACAAATACTAATTAGGGTGAGAAGGTTATTTGTTATTCTTTAATACTTGTAATATGATTTAAAGAGAAAGTAAATAATAGCAGTTATAACTAATCCTTGTTGTTGTTCTTCTTCTTAAGAGTAATGCTATTTAGTACGAAACAATTTGGCTAAGAAATGCAAGAATGTACACATGTCACTATTTTAGAGGTGAATTTTAAATTGATTTTAAATTTAATTTCCTTTTTAATAGAGATCATGGAATAGTGATAATAATGAATAGTTGAGATTTATTCTTACATTTCTTATTTTGACGTTTTCTTACTAATAAACATTTTTCTTTTTTTAAATACCTCACTCTTAACTCAATTAATCTATAAGTATCTTCCTTTTGTGTGAACTAATGAGTGTGGCAAGAGTTTCTAAGTAATTAAGACATGTTTGATTAAGGCATTCATCCTTCCTATTAGTGATCCTACCTTAGGCTTTGAAGTTTAATGTGATGCCTCTTTGAAAAGGCTTAGGGCGTGTGTTGGTGAAGAACCATAAGGTTGTGTCGCCTATGCGCCTTGAAAAATCAGAATTCATGAGAAGACCTACCATATCCATGACATAGAACTACAAGCAATAATCTTTGCCTTATTGATTTAAAGACATTAAGTGTATGGTATAAACTTTGAGATTTTTAGCAATCCCAAGAGCTTACAATACATGTTTGATTAGAACATGTTGAACATGAGGCAAAAAAAGGTGGGTGGAATTCTTGAGTCAATGTGACTTTGATCTAAATTATCACCCGATAAAGTCCAATCTAGCAGCTGACGCCTTGAGTAGAAATCACCTAAATGTATCTTACGTGATGATCCAAGAAATGAGAATTATAGAGGATTTTTTAAATCTTAAGTGTTTTACCCTTAAAGGAAGGAGTTTTACTTTGGTCACTAGAAATTTTGTGTGACCTGAAAGATAGGATTAGATTAGCACAGTTAAGTGATGAAGTCCTACAAGGAAACAAAACTCAACATGAATTCACAATTGCATTAGATGGATTGATCCTATCTCATGGTAGGATTTGTATTTCTCATGAGAAAATGTTAACCCATACCCCTATAATTATACTCATACCTCTATATTTTTTTAAAAATGCCAATTTTATCCCTGTTTATTTTTTATTATTTTATTTTTTTTATTTTTTACCGTTCTTATTAAATTGTCAGAGTTTCAAAAAATTCACTTCATCAACATCGTTTCGGAACACTTTTGGAATGACTTCCGGTATATATATTTTTTACACCGGAAGACTCTAGCTAAGAGTTCCGGTTCATTACAAAACATGTACCAGATGTGTTATAAAAAGACTTCCGGTTCTGAGACCTACTTGCGACTCTTCCAGAACACTTTTTGTCATATCTTCCGGTTTGGTTATAATGTTTACCGAAACACTTTTCCTAAGAGTTCCGGTTTGGTTGTAATGTGTATCAGAACACTTTTTCTAAGAGTTCCGGTTTGGTGACTTTTGTGTACCAGAACTCTTTTCATGAGATTTCAGGTTTGTTTTCGTAAATGTAATTTATTTAATTGTTTTTTTATTCTGCAAGTACGAAAATTCCTCCACAAATATGCGATAAAGACCAAATATGTATAGATACGTCTGATATTTTTTCAACTACTCAAAAATTTGGTACACGAGAATAGGTCATAAGATGGACTAAAGAGATCGGAATCCGAAATAAAATAACGGTTATCATCACTCGTTCAGATGTTGAAACAGGCAAGAAAGGAAGAAGTAACAAATTAATATTTGGTTGTGATAAAGGTGGGAAACACAAGGATATTTATAGTGTTACCCAAAATGCAACGAAAAAATGTGGATGTCCATTTAAAATCAGGTCGACTCTGGCGAAAGATGGGTCTGGATGGAAAGTTGATGTAAAATGTGGAGTTCATAACCATGGTTTACCTGATAGATTATAAGGTCACTCCTTTGTTGGTAGGTTGACAATGGATCAGAAGCAACGTGTTGCTGATTTGACAAATAGAAAGGTTCCACCTAGACATATATTGATTTTCTTGCAAGAGCAAGGTCTGGATAATCTCACTTGAATCACGCAAATGTACAAGTAGAAGAGCATGATAGAAAAAGAGATAAGAGGTCCTAGAAGTGAGATATAACATTTGTTTAAGCTTATTGAGGGTGCATGTTATGTTTATTGGAATAGAAAAAGAGATGACTCTGAAGTTATTAGAGATATATTTTGAGCTCATTCAGATTCAGTTAAGTTGTTGAATATTTTTCCTATTGTGTTAGTTATGGACAACACTTACAAGACAAACAAATATAGGCAGCCTCTGTTTGAAATTGTTGGCATGACATCAACCGAGTTGACTTTTGCTGCCGCATTTGCGTATATTGAGTCTGAGCAGACTGAGAAATTTTGTTGGGTGTTAGAAAAGCTTAAAGAATTGTTTGTGAAGCTATATTTGTGTCCACGAGTGATTGTGACAGATAGAGATCTTACTTTGATGAAATCCATTAAAATTGTGTTTCCAAGGTTGATCAATTTGCTTCGTCGATTTCACATTAACAAAAATGTTGGTGCAAAATGCAAGCAACATGTGGTTAATGACATGTAAAAGACAATCGAGGACTTATGGACGGAAGTTATATGGGCTAGTAATGAGATTGAGTATGATCAAAGGTTGAACCAACTTGAGCAGGCGTACATTGATTGCAATGAATTTATTGATTATGTGAAGGACATATGGTTGACACCACATAGACAAAGATTTGTTGGAGTATGGATTAATCGAGTGCTACATTTGGGTAACACCACAACTAATCGGTATGTATTTATTTTTAGTATTTCTAAATTGTATCTTTTTTTGTATTTTTTAAGTATTTTTAATATGTATTACTTTTAATGTTGAGTCTGCTCATTGGAAGTTAAAGCAGATGTTGGAGAACAATATTGGTGACATGATCAAATGTTGGGAGGCTATGAATGATAACTTAAAGTTACAACTGGGAAAGATTAGAGCTTCTTTTCAAAAGAGTTTTCATGAAGTTGAGCACGCCCACGTAAGTCCATTTTACAATAATTTGCGTGGTTCAGTGTCTTGAGTTGCATTGAGACACATTGCTAAATAGTTAACATGAGTTGATTATGTTGGAATTAACAAGGAAATATGTTGTTGTACTCTTAGAACAACCTATTGATTACCTTGTGCTTGTGAGTTGACAGAATATAGAATTGGTGGTATACCGATACCAATAGATGTTGTGCATGTTCATTGGAGGAAACTAAGCATGAAAGTTAAGTTGGAGGAAGACGTAGATGATAGATCAGAGGTGGATATGAGTAGTGCAATAGATGAGTTATGGAAAAGGTTTAGGTCACTAGATATTTTTGGGAAAAGGGCATTAAAAAGTAGGATTTTTGAACTTGCCTTCCCCACAAAGACTTCTTTGTGTCCACCACTTGAGAAAATAAAAACCAAGTGGGGAGTCAAGAAGAAAGGAGAAAAATCAGTAGGGTATGATGTTTATAGGGACCCTACGTGTCATGAGTATGTTGATCAAGCATCTCAATCTTCACAGAGGAAATCTCAACCATCACAGACTTCGAAGAAGTTGAAATTATCACAATCTTCATAGAAGAGATCTCAACCATCACATACTTCGAAAAAGTTGAAATTATCATAATTTTCACAGTCATCTAAGTAGTTCATCCTTCAGTTTCCTAATCACATCAGGTCATATATTTATGATGTAGTTAATGTTGTATCAGATGGTAATTGTGGATTTAGAGTCATTGCTTCATTGCATGGATATGGTGAAGATGGTTGGCCAGTGGTTCGCCGAGACTTGAGGTTGGAAATAATACATAATGAAAGATCTAGTTTGTATGCCAATTTATTTTTTGATCGGTTAGCAGAAGTGAGAGAATCTTTGATGATAGAGGCATTTGGTCCTCAACCACCACAGAAATTGTTGACTCTACCAGATATGGGTTACTTGATAGTGAATCATTGTAATGTTATACTTGTCTGTTTAGATTTTGAATGTTGAATTTTCTTCCTTATGACAACTTCATTTTCACCAAATGTATCATTTTACTGCATTGGTTTTGTAAACACAAATTATTGGGTTCAGGTACTTAGTTATTTTTACTTAGTTATATTTAGTTAATGTGACTAACCTAATTTCTTAACCTTTTCATTATTTTTTTTATTCAGGTAAACATGAAAGAAGGGTTTCCATTTCTACCAGTGGCAATAGATTGGAAGAAGTTTCGTTCTCCAGCAGCAACATCTTGAATGCTAGGATTTGCAGGACATTTACAATATTGGCAACAACTCCACCTATATTACCAACGCATTATGAAATATAAATATGTTATTCATTTGTAATTTCAAAACACAAATCATGAATTATGTTATTCATTTTTAATTTCAAAACATGAATTATGAATTATGTTATTCATTTTTAATTTCAAAACATGAATCATGAATTATGTTATTCACTTTAATTTCAATAACACATAACTGGATTCAAAACTAAACATCAGTTTATAAGTTAACACATAAACATAACCCAACTAGGTGAAGTGAGTCTAAAAGTTAACACATAAACATAAACATAAGTCAATAAGTCTAAAAGTTAGCACATAAAAATAAACATAAATATAAGTCAATGTGAACGAGCAATACGTAAAGCTTCGAACAACTCAACAAACTGTGGACCATCCTCTTCAGCACCGTCCTGTTGAAGATAATGATGAATCAATGCAAAACACGAGCCTAGCTAGGACCAGACGGTCCTGCATCATAAACAGGGACTGACACCTCTCTTGGCGCATCACGATGGGCGGTATCAGACGAGGATGCGAAACACGATAATACCATTAAAGATATATATCATCTGTCTCAGATGGGGTGGTGGCCAGTGTTGTGCGATGAATCATATGCCCAACGCTCTGATGGTAACTAATCCACTCAACATCAATATCATCAACCATCGTATAATCAAGAGGTGGAGGTGGAACATATTGTCTGTATTCAAACTGACGCATACATCTGTCAGGCAAGTATGGAAAAATAGTGTCGTCCCACCTCTGACACCCCCTTTGTAGACATAACTCATCAAACTGACGTCATACTCTATGATCCTCGAATGGACGCCATATGACATCAGAAGGTGTCAGCTCATCCAGAATAGGTCACAAGTCATCCACCTTTAGGACACCTTGCCTATAGGACCATCTCATCGCTCGAGGGAGACCAACATTATTAGCTGGTATTCAATTTTTTTTTTTTCAAGTGTTGGAAAATACTCATGAATTCATCACTGTTACAAAATTAATACTATTAGTTAATTAAAAATAATTAATTATAACATAATAAACTAGATAAATAAAATTAATTAAAACAAAATAAACTAAATTAAAATAAATACCTGTAGAAGACTCGGATAACCACCGAGCTGCTTACAAATGAATATGGAAGCATCTCCGAGATATCTATAAAGGGTAACCAACGCAGCTGCTCTCCAACTGTATCTTGATAAGTCATTCAAGTCTATAAATAGTGAGAGGTATCGTGCCTCGACAAGCATAAATGTCTTGTCCGCAAAAATTGTGGAACCCACTAACATCAAAAAATAAGCTCTAGTCGCATATGTCCATCTAGAAGCAGCTATATGCTCTACGAATCGATCGTATAACCACTCCAAATTATAGTAAGAACTCCTGCAGTCACAAACTTGTTGTTGTGCCACTCTCTGTGACACTCCTAAGTAACCAACAACCCACTCAATAGCAAGCCCTTCACTGATATCTTGAGGGCTCCAGAAGACTCCCCTGATGGGCAAGTGAAGCAGATAAGAGACGTCATCCAGAGTAATTATCGTCTCACCAAATGACATGTGAAATGAAGATGTCTCTAGATGTCATCTTAGGCCGTGATCAGGGATCCTACCGTCCTTGCCTCGTGTGTGCACCACTGCTAAAATAAAAACAAAATTAAAAATTAGAAACATTATAAAAAAAAAACCGGAACACTTCAACAATGAGTTCCGGTATGAATATTAACGAAAACGAACCAGAAGACTTGCATTAACACTTCTGGTAAATAAACGAAAAAAACTATAATACCGGAAGAGTTGCATTAACACTTACGGTATGTAAACTCAAAAAACCAGAATACAGGAAGACTTCTTTAATGTCTTCCAGTACGAAAATAAAACCGAAAGACTTGCTCTAACACTTCTAGTATACACTTTATGAACCGGAAGACTTGTGATATGAGGTATATAGCCGTAAAATCTGTTTCTCGGAAGACTTCAGACGGAAATGAAAATGAAAAACAAAATTTCTAAAGTTATACGAGGGTATTTTGATTAAAAAAATTTAGGATAAAAATATAAATATAATTATAGGAGTATAGAGTAAAAAGTTTTTTACGGGAAAACTTCATTCAATTCTGGATGAAAACGGAGTTTTGCAAATTCTCCCCAATAACTGGAAGATCATTTCGAGATCTTCGAACATATTACGATGAGAACCCAAAGTGGTGGGTCTTAGATAAAGCTCATAATAGTGTACTGTCTATCCACATGGGAACCCCTAAGATGCACCAAGACCTTAGGAAAATTTATTGGTGGCCCCAAATGAAAAGTGAGATTACATTGTATATAGCAATATGCCTAGTGTTCCAGAAGGTGATTTAGCATAAAGGATTGGTGGATTTTTGGTTAACGTAACTATGGAATTTGTGGCAAGTCTACCTAGGACATAATCCGGCTATGATTCCATTTGGTAGTAGTAGACAAGGTGCGTGATAAATGAATTTTAGGACCAAAGATCATTAGGGAAACCATTTATAAAATTAGTATGACCGCCTGAAAAGATGAAAGTTTCACAAAATAGAAACAAGAGTTACTCTAAAAGTTAATTGTTTTTTATAAAAGTTGTTGATTTAATAAGAGTATCAATAATTTATTTACATCAATAAATAAATAAAAATTAATTTTATATTAAAATTTAAAAATTGTATGTAATTAGAAACAATTTTTAATGCAACAATTAAAAAGAAATGAGAGTACTTCATCTATCTCTTATCATAAGACTCATCTATATTTTCTAGATATTAAAAAAAATTAAAAAGTAGTTGTAACAACTCATTTGCAAAAGTCTATTGGAGATAAAAAGTCTAACTAATGCAATTTAGTTGACATTTGTTTATATCTTCATCTCGCTTAAAGTTGAAATGTTGGTCATTATGTTACTAGATCAAAACAAAAGAAAAGATAAAATATTTTTGTTTTGTTATATATATATATATATATATATATATATATATATATATATATATATATATATATATATATATATATATATATATATATATATATATATATATATATATATATATATATATATATATATATATATATATATATAATCTCAACTTTTTGTATACATGCAATGATAATAAAAAGTTAGAAACTCATACGTGAGATTCTTTGTTCAAATTAAAATGTTAGTGTTCATCTATAAATGTGAGTGTTCAGCCTAATAAAACATTTATACTATTTTAATATTCACTTTATAATATTAATGAATATTAATATTTCTTTTCTTATCATACTATTAATTAACTTTTATTTTATATTTTTTAATTTTTTCTATATCACTAATATTAATTTTATAAAATTATTTATAATTTTTTAATATGAAATTAATTATATTTATTTATGTTAGAGAAAATTTTCACTAGGGAGCATTGAATATTGTGAGATTCTCTTTTCTAGAGCAAGATCTTTCTTGAATAAAAGAATAGATATATTCAAAAAACAAAACAAAGTACACAACGATCGCACGGATCCAACCCAACTAAAAAAGACAAAACAAAACAAAAAACAAGGCAACACCTAGGCTTACATTAACATATGAGCTATATGGCTTCTAAGCTTTGGTTGCATCCACCCTTTATAAACTATATTGTCTATTATGTTTTTAGTTACATGTATATTATCCTATTCTTAGCAAAGCAGACATTATTCCTATACTGCCAAATACCATAAACCGTCTTCGCAATAGCAATCTTCAACAATCTACCTTTCCAGCCTTTGCCTTTGGTGTGTCTCAAAATCCAGTTTAACTCATTAACCCACAACTGAGGTCTATGATCAACATCCACCCACTACAGAACTCATACCAAATACTCTTTGTGATACTAGACTAAAAAAAGGAGGTGATTAATTGTTTCCCTCTTTATCAATACACAACTGACACTGGCTCGATTATAACATTAGCATCTTCAGCAGTCTAGCTTTTGTATCCAGACGACCATGGCAAGCTAGCCAAAGAGTGAGGACAGCTCTAGGTCGAGCACCATTGTGCCTCATCAAGTGACTCCACTTAACTCTTGCTTGGTCATCAATCAGAACTTTGTACACTGCCATCATAACAAACTTTTTCTTCAACAACAAATCATCCCAAACCTGCTGCATATGACTGATCAGGTTTTTACCATTCAATATATTTTTCATGATCCAAGAACTATTACTCTGAATGTTCGCAGCCAACACATCATTGCCTTTAAGATAGTGATTATGGATCCATTTGACCCACAAATTATCATACTTTAAGCAGATATTCCACAAACACTTTAGCATTGCCATAGTTTTCCAGACTTCAAGATTAATCAAGTTCACGCCACCTTGAATCATAGGGCTAGAAGTTTTCTTCCAACCCACATGGCTCTTCTTACTAACCTCAAACCTACAAGACCAGATAAAGGATCGACAAATAGGGGTGAGCAAGGGACGGGTTGGGATGGGTTATGACTAACCCTAACCCTGTCCTAAATTTTGATCGGGTTAGTTTAATGACCCTAACCCGTACCTAAATCCGTAAAAATCTCGATAATATGTCATCACCTTTTTATTTTCCCTAAAACATACTAAGAAGATGTAAAATAAAAAACATGATGTAAGAGAACAGATGTGTACTTAGTATTTACTAAGTGCATATATTAAATTATGAGGTGAAAAGTGGAAAAGTCTATTGGAAATTTGGAATAATTTAAATATACCAATAAATTAAATAAATAAATAAATAGTATCACATGTCCATTCATAATATTAGGACGGGTTGGGTAACCCGAGGGTCAACCCGAACCCATCCCACCTATATTGGGTTGGGACGGGTCTTCGGGTTGGGTTGTGCTCACCCCTATCGACAAATGGAGTTAACTTTCTTGATCACCATTTTTGGAATGGGGAAACAGTGCATCCAATATTGAATAATTTCCAAAGAAATGCTTTTAACCAATTGAATCCTACATGCTATGCTTAAAAGCTTGGTAATCTAAAGTTTGATTCTACTCACAATCCTATCCACCATGGGCAAGTAGTGGCTAATATTAAGCTTCTTACAAGACAGGGGAACTCCCAGATATCTAACAAGTAACTGACATTCCTCAAAACCTGTCAAGTTAATAAGGTTAGCTTTTGTATCATTATCCAACCCTCCACATAAAATCTTGCATTTTGCAGGATTAACACTAAACCCTGTTGAATCTGAAAAAGATTTGAAAGCTGCTAAAATCATGTCAATTGATTTATGACCTCCTCTACTAAAAAACAACACATCATCAGCAAAAGAAAGATGAGTTATAGCAAGTTTCTCACACTTAGCATGGTGATTGAAGTTTGGATCCTTTTTCATCTTCATCATAGTTTTGTTCATGTACTCCATCATGATTACAAAAAGAAAAGGGGAGATAGAATCCCCTTGCCTTATGCCTCTCCTAGATTGTAGCACTTTTGAGAACTCACCATTAATGTTAAATTTATAACTGACAGTTGTGATGATAATCATGATCCAATCAATGAACTTTTTTGGCAACCCAATTTCCTGCATCACACACTCAAGAGCTTTCCAGTCAACCATGTCATAGGCTTTTTGCAAGTCAATTTTCATCATACACCTAGGAGTTCCCCTTTTTCTAGTATAATCCTTCATCAACTCAAAAGCTAACATGATGTGGTTATGGATCACTTGGCCAGGAATAAAAGCAACTTGGCTTTTATGAATGACTTCATGAAGCACTATCCCCAGCCTGTTAGTCATAATCTTGGAAATGGTTTTATAGAAGGTTTACACCCAACTATAGGCCTATAATCCCTTATAGAGGTAGCATTATCATTCTTTGGGATGAGAGTAACCACAGTGTTGTTGAAAGCCTTATACAGCTTGCCCTTATAAAAAAAACTCCTTTATAGTAGCAATAACATCCTCTTTTATAATGTGCCAGCTTACTTTGAAGAATTTAGCTCCAAAGCCATCAATTCCAGGAGCTTTTAGATCCCCAATTCCTTTTAGGGATTTAACAATTTCCTCCTCTGTAATTGTGTTAATGAGAAACTCTCTTGGATCCCCATTAAGGTGTTTACCATCCCTCAAAGCTTCAATATCCACATGCTTCAGGTTATGAGCTGCCTTTCCCATAAGATTCCCATAGAACTCCATCACTTCCTTGTGAATCTCTTGTTTATCAGTTATAAGAGTACCATCATTATTTTGGATAGTCCTCATACTCTTGGCATGGTACTTAGTTTTGATAGTAGCATGGTAGTAAGCATTATTACCATCCCCAAATCGAAGCCAGTCCAATTTAGCTCTTTACATCAGAATTTTTTCCTCCAGATCATTCCAATTAATCACCTCCTCAGTGCATATTTTGACTCTCTCCACCCTTTAGCCATCAATTCTATTTTGAATAAGATCATTTTGGGCAGTCTCAAAATCCATTCTATCTTTTTCTAGGTCTTGTTTGACATTAGTCATGGATCTACTAAAAGCTGTCAACTCTGGTTTCAATCTTTTCAGCTTATGCCACAAAACATACATGGGATCCCCTCTGATAGGCTTAGTCCAACTATTTCTCACAACCTCATCATAACCTACCATGTCAACAATGCAGTTATAGAATTTGAATCTTTTTTCTAGTTGGCACCTCAAGTTTCTTACCATCCACATACAAAAGAGCATGATCAGATACACTAGGGGGCAGGATATTCAAAGTCTTCTCCATATTATCTTGGAACCATTCCATATTTCCAAGAGCTCTATCAATTCTTGAATAAATGGTACCTAGCACATGTTTGTTTGACCATGTATAATAGTCTCCTACACTGTCCATTTCGCTCAGCCCAGTAGAAAGTAACATATTATTCAAGTCAATATACTCATTTTTTGTGACCATCCTACCACCAAGCATGTCCTGAGCCTTAGCCACATTATTGAAGTCTCCTATAACACACCAAGAACCCTACTAATTTCTCTGAAGATTCTCTATGTCCTTTCAGAGGACTCTTCTCTTTTCCAGCTAATTCTGATAATAGACCGCAGTTAGCCAGTACCTAAAGCCACCAACCTTGTCATAAATGCCACAATGTATGAATTGGTCAGAACTGCTCTTAAATATAATATCCATTTTGTTATCATCCCAATTAATCTAAATCCTACCATACCATGGTGATTGTAATTATCAATATATTTACCCTACAAGTTCAATTTTTCCCAAGCAAGATTAGCTTTAGGCAACTTAACTCTTGTCTCAATCAAAACAATAATCTCAGGTCTTAACTTTAGGAAACGGGAGATAATCTTTCTAAGTTTACCCAATTTATTCAGCCCCCTAACATTCCATGAAACTAACATGGCCCCATATTAAAGGCAGTTAGAGGGTCATTCAAAACCCCTAGAGCCTCAAAGCCATTCACACAGTTCACTTCATAAGTTGAGCCAGAATATGCTATTCTCTTACCTTTGTCTCTGGTGGCCTTACTCATTATGGTTCAATGTTCTTCATTTTCCATATCTGGTTGCTTCTTAGGATCTTCTTTTGGATTCATTGCATCAGGGATAATTACTTTTGTAATATCAGGAGGTTTGGCCTTTGGCTTCCATTGCTTCTCTTTAACACCAGCCTTGCATTGATGCCCCATTTTTTGACACTTCTCACAAAAGATTGGTTTCCACTCATACTCAACAACTTGTGTTATTTTTTTCCCCTCACAATCTCTAATTGTAATTTCCTTTTCCAGAGTTTATGTAATATCAACCTCCACAAGAATATGAGCATAAGATACTCGTAGCTTATTTGTCGTGCATTCGTCTGTCACCAAAGGAACTCCAATAGCACTACCAATTTTGTTGAGGCTTCCCCCTAAAGGTGTAGAGGAAGTTGGGGGAGCTTTATCCATAGAGGTAGGGTTCACAACATATCCCTCTTTAGATTGAAGTTAGGTCTTCATTCTTTTAGCAGCATTGGTACATTCCTTATTTTGTATGGCCCCTTCATCAGAACAACATCCATGTATGCGTGCGAGTTGAATTTGAGAATGAAGTATCATTCATCATGGTAGAACATATCTGGAAATTTGACAAAATTCCACATCTTCACCATGTAGTTTTTCACCATATTCATACTAAGTGTCGTAACCCGAAATTTGACCTCCCCTTTTGCCTTTTGCATAAGCATATGCATTCACATCGCTGACATACGCATTAGCATCTTTTTTCTGTGGGTTTTTGTTGCAGGAATATTTAGGTTTTCGAAGCTCGATCAGTCACATTTTCACGAAGACATCATATCACCAACACAAGCAAAAAATAAGGGTTTCTATGCCTATTCATCAAAGCAAAAGGTTGAAAATCGGAACCATGACCATTACACCTTTTTTCAAGCAAATTGGCCAAGTTTTGGCTTGGTTAATCGATTAATCCTTTTCTAGTACAAAAGGGTTAATCGATTAACCCTTGTATTTTGGTAGATTCTACTGTATTTTCATGACAACAACTTTTCCTTTATTCTTTTGGGGTCTACTTAGTTCTAGCACTGTGTGGAATATTCTAGACATTTCAAGACCTTTCAAGACACTTTAAGACATTTATTCCAATACATCATTTCCAATCAAGACTACCATGTAACTTCATTTCCAAGCATGAGAGCCGTCAGATTTGGACTTACATTGGGATTGCTCCACCGAGTTAACTAACTAACTAACTGGTTCAACTTCCGACTCAGTGAATTAAGTCTAACTAAATCCAAAACTAGTTCTAAAGCAAACTCCAAAGCACATTCCAAACCTAGCAACTCCAAACCTCCACTCTATATGAACAAATCTTCACCATTACACAAGGGACCTTAATCATTCTCTCATTTTCACCCTTGAACCTTCAATCATTTTCACAACTCTCTCTCAATTTTCACTCTTCTCTCTCACATTCTCTCTAAAGTTTCTGCAACTTTTTCTCACATTCATCTTCATCTTCTCCCCAAACCACACTAGAGCTCAAATTCACCATTAAAGAGTAGCAACTTTCACATTGAAAGTGTTTTTCTCTTGAGCTTAACCTCCATTATCTTGCACTTCTACTTAGTTTTCTGGAGTTTCATTAAATTTTTCTTCAGCTCAAGTGATTATCTCAAGTTCCTTCGGTACAAATTCGCATTTGGAGCTTTCGTCACATTTTGCTCGGTTTCGCTACAGTTCGGTTACAAGTTCAGATTTCTATGGTTTTGTTTTATTATCTTAATCATAATTCACTTGCAACAATCACCAAGGCAGTCCTCCGTCTTGTAGGTTGGAATTTCTCACTCAATTTACTGTTTTTGATCACTTTCGTATTGTTCGTGATATAGATTCGATAATTTTTGTGTGTGCAAATTGATTATGCAATGGCTTGATTCTTGTCTTTGATAAATTAATTGATTCAATTGATGCTTAATTGTTAATTTTGAACTTGATTTTCGTGCACAAATTTTTGCCCTAACATGTGAGTGATTGCATAATTGATAAGTTGTTAAATGTGCTTTTGAAAAACCAATTTTCTGTCACTGCTACAGGTTTAGTCGATTAACCATTTGCTAGTGCAAAATGGTTAATCGATTAATACCTCTATTTTTAGTAAAAATCTGTTTTTTCCAATGGTTAATCGATTAACCATTTTGCACTAGTAAATGATTAATCGATTAAAACTGAACCAAAATGCCATTTTTGTGCTTTTTCATGCTTGTTTGGTTTTCTTTCCTCACTTAACTTCCATGGCTTGATATGCTTGATATTTAGGGATGTTTTATGAGCTATATAATCTTTGTTTGAAACATGTATGCAAACTTTCAATGCACAATTTATCGATTCTTTATTATTTGCATTTTTGACACTTGTATGAGCATGTTGATTCTTGCACACCTTTGTTCACATGATAGCATGATTTGTGATGCATGTTAATTGACATTTGGTGCTGCTTTGCAATTTCATTCTTGATCATATTAAGTTTTTTCTTCATTGATCAAGCTTAGTCTTGTATAATCAATAATCTGCACGTTTGCTTTGACGTTCTTTCATTTTGTATGAAAGATTATTGGCTTGTTCACTCCCTTTTGATTAATTGATCGAAACCTTATTTCAATTAGTTGATCTTCCCTCTCTCTTCTCTTTAGGATACTTTTTAGCCTCGTTCTCTCGATCCCCCGCAGAGTCGAAGATCTACAACACATTGGAGCATTGTACAACTTACGCCATTTCTCTTTCAGTTTCATCTTCCATACTATACTTTGGGTACTAGAGAAGGAATGAGGACGGAGTCTGTCTTATCCTCACTCTGATTGTTTCTGGGAAAGGGCGTATGGTCCTTACACCTGGAATAAGTCACCTTTATTCCCGAGTTGTGGTGTCTCTTGAGTTTAATCCTTGATCACTTGCGCACTAATCATTGTTCTTGGTTTGAGTTCCTCCTTTCGATTCAACATTCCTTTCTCTTTTGGCCAATCAGTATCCTTTGATTTCCCAAAAGAGTTGTAATCACCCTTTCCCTTGGTTAATCAACCGTTCTTTGGTTAAAGCCAAATTCTCTTCTTCCTCATCAAAGTCACAATCCTCTTCTTCGGTTAATCACTGCCTGTTAGTTAAAACACCAAGTTGCTCTTTTTCTCAGTTAATCACAGTTCTTCTGTTAACATACTGAGTTTCTCTTAGGTTAATCACGTTCTCTTAGTTAATCACCCGTTCTTTGGTTGATCATGGTCCTCCCGTTAAAACTAGTTTTCTTTGGGTTAATCACCTTAGCTTGGTTCATCACACATTCCTCGGTTAACCATATTCTGTCTGTTAATATATTGAATTTCTCTTGAGTTAATCATTATCTCTTGGTTAATCACTCATTCTTTTGGTTAATCATAGTCCTTTTGTTAAAAACAATATCCCCAGCGGTTAGCAACCTTTCTTCGATTCAATCACTCGCATCTTTGGGTTAGTAACCTTCTTTTGGTTCAAATACCCTTTCTTCAGTCAAGTATTGCTTGTTCAGTCAATGTACCGAAGCCCTTTGGGTCACAACCTTCGCTTGGTTTCACACCCGTCCTTTGGGTCACAGCCTTCGCTTGGTTCCACACCCGTCCTTTGGGTCACAACCTTCGTTTAGTTCTACACCCGTCCTTTGGGTCACAACCTTCGCTTGGTTCCATACCCATCCTTTGGTCACAACCTTCGCTTGGTTCCACACCCGTCCTTTCAATTAACCACTGT